AAAATTTCAAATAACTCTTTAAAAAGTTGTTCGTTTGTGGAATCCTTTTGCTGTGTTTTGCATAAAGCATTTTTCTATAATATCAAAACAAATTTATACTGAAATATATTTCACCTTTTCTTTTTGCATCATCGTTAAGTAAGTTGCCAAAAGTCAAGCAATGAGTCAGTAGATGAGTCAGAATTGAACTTTTTCAATCCCTTATTTACAGTTCTGTTCACAACCTGGTAGACCATGGGTTCTTAATCTAGCTAGGAGCTTGTAACCAGAATTTAGAAGAATGTGATTACCCTGCATGTCATTATGGCTGGATAGAATAGAGAGTTCCAAAAATAATGAGGCTTCCTGATACTACTTACTCTTGCAACATAGGGTCACAGTGTAACAAAGGTAAAGAACCTCTACATTAGTCTTCATTTCTCTGTCTTTATACAGTATTGTCTTTTAATGTCTGTTTCCAAACTTCACTATCGTGTCCTTTATCAACAGTCTCTTTCAAAGGAGGTTGGCTTTTGACATGATACCCTGTTTTTAAGACCCATTGTGGTATTTGCCTTTTAAATGAATATTTAATTTACACATTTTCAAACTCATTGTTTCATTATTTATGTCCTTGTACTCCTGTGGGTCATATTGCTATTCCCTGCAAAGAATACTCAAAGGTATGAGCAAAGACAGGGCACATATCACATCTCAGTCTTGGCAGAAAGCAAGCAGTTTGTGTGAAACACAAAGCTCTGGATTCTGATTGCTTTAATAAGCTGCAGAGAGCAGTTTGAGGCAGGTCTGTTATATGTATGAACAGAAAATTAAATCAGATTTCAGCTTTTAAGCAAATTATCTTGAATGCCATAGTTAAAACATAGTTAATTGTATCTGGGAAATTTACCATGTTAAAAGACAATTGGATTACTGGGAGTTCCACAGTGAATTTATGCAAAGCTATGTGAGGAAAATCCTGAGCAGAAGTGAAAGAATATTACTGAAGCTCACAACTGCCCTCACATACTTCTCAGATACCTGATACTTTTGAACAGGCAGAATTCTGACACCTTATGAATGGTGCCAGTTGAGGAAAAAGTCTATAAAGGTTAGATTCGGGTAAAAGATACCATAGGCATGAAGCAATTGCCATTACCTCTTTTTCTTGTGGCATTAATGTAAGAAGTGCCAGGTTTGAGAGAGAGAAATTGTCTAGAATGTCATCATATACAAGTACTACTAGAACAAGCAGATAAATGTGACTGGACTCTCCATCTCATGGTCTGTTCAGATATCCAACTTTTCAAATGGATTAAGCCTATTACTAGCGCTAGAGCAATGAAGGCCAACCTTTTTCTCAGATGTGCCACAAACTGGCCCTGTACCCTTCCCAAGTACCACTCTGGTCCTCTGTTGCCCAACCTCCTGCTCTGCTTCCTGCTCCCTACGTCTGTGCTGTAGCATCCAGGAGGCTGGGATTTCAGGGATTCTGTTAGAATGATTGACCTTTCAGGAGTGGGGTAAAGAAAATGCATCAAGTTCTTTGAAAGCTTTTTTCAATAGTCTGTGAGGTTGAAAACAATGCTAAAAAATGCATTATATCTGACTTCTCATAATCCCTTTCCATAAATTTCAAGGCGAAGGTATTGTACTACTATATAAGTAATGTAGGGTAAATAAATTATATGTACAGTAAAAGCTCTGTATCTGGCATCCCCCGGGAATGGGGGATGCCAGGTAACAAAATATACCGGTTAATTGAGTGTCCCGAACAGGCATCCTTGACTGTTCGGGCCACTGCTTCTCCTGCCGCATCCTGGGTGTCACTGACCCTTCTGTGGGACAGGGAGGCAGGCCCCGCGCAGCCAGTTACGGCCCTGGGCCATGGGGGCTTGGAGAAACTGGACATGCCACAGTGGGCACTTCCGGTTTCACTTTACCTTACAAGCTGGCATGCCGGTTAACGATTCTGTTCTTTTCTAGGGTTAAGGGATGAAGGTGAGAATATAGGTAATGATTGAAATTGGAATTAATTCAGTTACTGATCAGATAATTGGCTGTAGCTGTATAGCTTTTTAAAAATTTAAATAGTAAGAATTAAATATTAGGCCAAGTCAGTGCTTGGGACTTTTGCTTGCTTAGCAACATTGGGCAAAGGTTTCATATTTTTTATTCCAACATTTTTTATGTTGGCAAAAGCCATAGTGTGGACACAGTTATGCAGACATAAAAGTATTTTTGCCAGTACAGCTTATTTCACTGCCAGAACTCACATGAGTTACACTAGCAAAGCATTTTGTTAGTATAGCAAATAAAAGCTGTACCTATCAAGAGTGTTTTGCTGTTATTGCTATTCTAGCAATATTTTTACATTTAGACTAGTCTATATTTAAAAAAGAAAGAAAGTTTTGGAGCTTTCTTCAAAGCATAGTAATGCTATCCACTTACCTAGCATTTCAACTGCGGACCTCTAAGCACCTAATAAAGCTGGGGTTGTGTTATTTTAATCCTTTTTTAAAACCGATGAAAATACTAAATATTAGTTAGATGCACTCTTCCCAAAGACTCACAGTGAATTAACAGTAGTCAGGATAATAGTCCAAGTTTCCAAGTGCCCAGGTTTCTATGTAAATCTCTAGACCCCGGTGGCTTATAATCAAGCTTAGGAAATTCTCTTGTTTGAGAAGTTATATGCATTGTTCTGATGAATGAAATATTCCTTTATCTGAAATGTAGTGAAAAACTTTTTCTTGTTACTTGGGTCATTTTGTTGATGTTAATAGCCGACTATTATCTTATCAAAAAATGAACTGCTAATGAACTGCTAAAATGAACACTGTGTGTTCTGAAAAGCATTAGGATGCTGAAGGGAAATAGAAAATCCTGGCTCCATTCACTTCAGAGTGAACGGTAAATCTTCCATTGACTTCAGTGGGGCAGGACTGCATAAAAGTGGATATAACAACATGTTCATAGTATCTAAGCTTCCATTAACACAGGTTCTAGGTTTTTCTATTGCCAAGAGAATCTTGAAAAGAAATCGGCTCACTTGTCTTCTGTTTATCCAGCTTTGCAGCTCTCAGCTGAGCATTAGCAAAAGCAAGGGGTGTGAGCTATACCTGGGTGAGCTGTGAACTCTGCCTTTGACTCGCTTCTAAGAAGTGTTAATTTCTGCACTTCAGTTTGAGAATATTAAGCACTAACCTTATGATGTGTAGGGGCAGCTCTGGAAATTCTTCAATAGAAGTAATATGCGCTATGCATATAACAAGTGCTTCCAGAACTGGGCTCCATGAAAAGCTTGCACTAATTTAATTTAGATTTCAGATTTTAAACTAATTTAGTTAAATCCATGCAAACCTTTGTGTAGAGACTCTTTTCAATTTCAGAGTAGTTCATTTTATTTCAGGAGCGTAGGAATGGAAAAGGCCTCCTACGTCAAACCTAATCCCCTACAGACACTGCGTCATAGAACCCCATTCATAAAGTAATCAAGCTGCATCTCCAAAGGAGCAAGGTTTTTGCTCCCACTGCTCCACATGGAAGCCTATTTCAGAACCCCACTACTTTATTGGTTAGAAACCTTATTTTAACAATCAGCCTAAATGTATTTGTAGCCCATTTATGCCAGGAGGGCTGGCAGCGTGGCATGTTACAGACTAACTTGTTCAGAGACCAACAAGCTTTTGTAGGCAGCATACTTCACCAGTTGCTATGAATGGACTTGCAGAGAGCCAGAGCAGTAAGTAGAAAGGAGTAAAGTCATTTTTATACAATGGATAGGGAAAGGGGGAAGAAAGAAGGGGATGCTACAGAGAGGTGAAGGTGGGTTGAAGAGATTAAAAGGGATAAACGAAGACATTATTCTGAGTGCTTGAACCAGTTCTGAGGCTCTGAATGCCTGGCTCCCCCAGTATCTTGAGTCTTGATCAAGATTCCTCTGTTGTCCCCTGGCTGACTGGCAAACATTAAGGTGTGGGAACAGGAATCGAAAATATTGTAGCCTAGGCTAGAAATTTGCAAGAACCGTTTCTGAAACCCTTCCCCATGTGTATAGGTTGTGGTTCAGCTGATTTACAGACTTCTTTGATTCTTTGAAATGCATGAGGTAATCTGGAAATTTTGACTCTGCCCAAGTATAGTCTTTCAAGTGACCTGTATCTCTGATGAGGACTCATGTTTTATGGGATTGGATTCATCTAATTTTCCCTAGTTATTTTTGGTTATCACAAGTGAAGCATCTTCCAGTGTAGGGGAGAATTTATTTCTTACAATGAATGGTTTAAAAATTGCTTGATTGAAGAGAGAGCCTGCCCATGTGTTGAAGGATTGTGTTTCTTTTGTTTACATCATGCTTCAGATTATAATCTTCATTTAATGAAATTGTTAATCAGTGGCATTTTTCTGTCTGATTAACTAGTTACAGATATTGACATATTTAAATAACTGGAATTTAACTGCTTGGGAAAAGGAGAACTAGAATTACTTGTAATCCTGAATTGCCTCCACTTGGCATCAGCGTAGATTCTTGTAATCAAAGTTATAAGTGCTGAGACATTTTATATTTGTAAGTAGGAAAGAGACAATATAAAGAAACATAGAATGCCAAGCTTGAACTAACAGAACATTTTTATTCCTTGGCTGTTGGGGTATAAACTTGGTCTGTGATGTTGGTATTGCAAATTTGTTCACCATTTTATAAATGTGAGTGGTCTGAAATATCCACTTGAAAGTACTGGCAAAAAATTGGTTGCATTGTGGAGTTCTAATTAATGTGTGAGAGAATTTTACTCCATCTTTGATTCTTAGAAATGCATGATATGATCTCTGGAAATTATTGACTCAGCCTAAGTATAATCTTTCAAGTGACCTGTATCCCTAATGAGATTTAAGATTTAATTGGTAAGAGGCTCCTTTTTGATTGGTAGTTGTTTGACAGCATTGGTACAAGGGTTTCATTTATTTCAGTACTGTGTGTTGTTGATAATGCACATCTCGTTTCTCTTCCTGAATTTTAGGTTTGTCCAGTTCATATTGTGACTGCCACGTATATTCAGAATACCAACTGGGCTGTAATATTAGGATATTACAGTTTCTAAGCTAGGATGCCTTTCAAAAACGGGGTGGAATTAACTGAGTTGCAGAATATGAAGGTCCCTGAAGATGATAACATCAGCAATGATTCAAATGATTTTACAGAGGTAGAAAATGGCCAGATAAATAGGTGAGTATTTTTCCACTGATACTGTCTGTCCTGTGAAACACACTGTTTAAAAACAGTATTCTAATTTTCAGTATAGGTCTTAAATTATTCATTACCAAGTCATGCTCCATTTGAAGATGTAATTTGAATTTCATATGTGACATCTGTTGGGCAAAGGCGGCAACAGCAGATAAAGCAAACAGTAACAATTTATTCATCCTTTTGAATCTTTCAAATGAGTCCAATAAAATGCATAAACATATAGTACATCAAAAAGCCAACATTTCAGAATGTCTGCTTCTACTGTGCAGAAATAATAACAATAATAATAATTAGAACAAGACACATTTGAGCAAAGATTTTCATTGTCATTTATTCCACAAATGGAGGATTGTAACCTTACTGGCCATGTCCATGTAGTATAGACTTCTGTGAATTTGTAACTTGCATTAATAAGAATAAATGTAGATTCAGGTTATATTTTTAAAAGTACAAGTGGGAATATATCCAAAACCATTACTACTAAGATTATAATAGGAAAAATCCTAATAGATTATGTATTTTAGAAAATTCAACAGAGATTTACATCTAAAGCTTGTATTTAAATTTCAAAAAATATATTCTCTTTTGAGTAATGAAAGTAAAATATCCTTGCATAATTACATTATTATTATTATTATTGAAATTGGCTCTAAAATAATTTAAAGGGTTTATTATTTTAATAAAGATGAATAATGCCATGTCCTTCATAATTATTGCAAAGTACTATAGAGAGGTATTCAGTTGCATTTTTAACAGAAGCTGAACTTATTGAAGGTTTTTACCTTTATCCTGCTCAGTGATTTTTCTGCTGCAAAGAGCTAGCTTCCTGCGAAACTTTCATTCAGATTTGAAAAACAGAAGCAAGGGTACCTAAACCAAAGCCAGCCCTCATCCCCTGCTCTTCCTGCATGGGACCAGATGACCTTTGGCATCTAGGCTAGTGATTTTAGTTAATGTCCCAATGTAAATATTACATTGAGTGCTACTTAATAGTACCAGTTTAGGATGCCACCCAGAGGCAAGGCGATCCAGGCTAGCCTTTACTCCTGAACATAGATAGCACTTGCTATCATGAGCAGTTGTATTGACAGATTATGAGTAGCAAATGTTTTGATGGACTTCTAGGCTGTGTCGACACATGTAGGCACATGTGGTTTTGTGATGCCACAAACCGCACGTGTTGAACATTAAACCATGTGTACCACTGCTGATTTGCGGTGTTGGGGCAAAACTTGCTACTGGGATTCCCGCACTGAGGCACATGGAAACAGAGCAGAAGGCAACCATGGGCTTTAGTTTAAAAATATAGATCTTTGATTTAAAAATGCAGAATTATAGCCTGCAGTAACGTTTGATGTGCTGAAGTAATACACAGTTTAATTTGGAGCTTATTACATATAGGTAAATTAGAACTGTATGTCCCCAGCCTGCAGATGTTAGTTCATCTAACACCTTCAGACTGTGTGAAACTCTAGGGTGTATCTACACATTGCCCTACAGCAATGTAGTGATGCGTTATGTTGCTATATGGCGCGGTACAGAGATGTAGTGATCATGTGAATCTACACGTGATCAGCAGCTATGTGGCTGTAGGGGTGCGCTCTCCCATTTTAGCATGCTGCTATGGCGACATAGCAAGAAAATCTAACCATGTGCTGTGCAGTATGGGAGGTTACTGTGCTGTGCTTTAGTACTTCCAAGAGGAATTACTAAAGCACAGCAACGTATAGACATGCCCATAGTGAGGTTTTTAAGTCAAATCGTGCTCTTTGTTTGTTTTGCTTGCGTGTTATATTAAATAATGGCTGCTTGAATTTACCTAAAACAAAAGGGATCTTTCAAAGAGGATTAAATAACAGTTAAAAATCAAATATTCAGAATAACTGATGCAAAAGCTAGAGTCCAGAGACCCATCTGTAAGCTATCAAAGAGGTTAGGAGCCTCACTTTACACAGGCCTACAGAAGCTAAACCACCACGACAAGATTTACACAATCCAAAAGATTTCATCAGAGAACGGAAGTAGGAGAAAATTACTGTAAGAGTTGTGCTCGTAACTCTAGAGTGGTGGACCCCAAAGGCAGCGGACAGGCGCCTCTATCCTGATAGCAAGAGACTGTGCAGAAAGAAAAATAAAATAGTGCGAATGAGGTCTAAGGAAGAGGGCTATATCACCCTGAAGAGCAGTTCTCTTGCTACTTTCCTGTGCTAACTAACAGTGAGCTAACTTCTTGGATTTACTAGGACCCTTTGTTATAAATCCAGTGGCCAGATTTTTGGCTAAAGCCACAGAGTATGGAGTGCAGCTCAAGATAGAGTTGTGCAGCCCTGCAACTTTGACCTGGGTAATTCAGTGCCAATTCCACCCACTTAACTCCAGTTATTATTAGGCACCTACTTAAATCACCGTTTTGGGATTTTTGTGGAAACCACGAAAAACGGTGGTTTCCACAATCACCGCCAAAAATGGCGTTTCCCATGATTTTGCACAAAATGGCATGGGGGGGTGGGGAGGGAAACTTACCAGAATACAAAGAAAGTGCTACAATCCCTGCAGCCATAGACCACGTGATTAGAGAGGCTGAGGTAGCGCCATTGGCTCAGTGAAGCCGCCAGTCTGGAAAGCTAAAAGGTTTCGGCACCATCTTTTAAGACGTCAGATGCAGTGGTGCAGTCTGAAGATGAGTGATTGGCGTCTTGGCCAATCAACAGCAAGGGGAGGGTCCACTGGAGCCCTTCAGCCAGTTTGTGGGGGGGGGCTCACCACAAAATTGGCTTGTGGCCCTTGAAATTCCCGTCATCTCATTGCGATTTGGGTAGGTCCCTAGTTATTATTGGCTTCATTAGCACCACAGCCAGGCCCTTATTCCTCAGCTTCAACCATGTTAGGAGAAGGGAGTTTGGGTCACTGTAGGATACTAGAGCAAGCATGCTGAACCCATCCTGGGCCCTGAGCCAGGGCCAGACCATGGGGCTTCTACCAGGGCAGATCTGCAGGACCAGTAGTTGGTAACAGGGACAGCAATGGCTTTGCAGTTCTGGGGGTGGGGGCAGCAGGGATCTGGAAGGAATGAGGATGTTTGGTATTGGCAGGGCCAAATAGTAGTAGGGTCAGGGGTGAGGGTCTCACACAGCCCTTGCTTACCCCCCTGCTGCCGATGGCTATGTCTAGCAGGGCATGGGGGCCCCAACTTTTGTAACAGACCACATTCCCAACTTCTAGTAGCCCAGCAGGCTGGATGGAACAACACTGCAGGCCAAGTACAGCCCAAAGGCTGTGTTTGACAGCCCTGCACTAGAAGGTGAGCCTCAATAATATAAGCTTCTTGCGTTGTACTGGCTTTGTGGTTAAGATCCTGGCTGCTACAACTTTTCCCTGCTTCTACCTACACTCCATCTGCAGTACAGGTGTTGTTCGTAGCTGCCTGTTGCAGCTCCTCACTGCCCTGCTGTGGGTGCAGACAAAGTCCCCACCTGTAGGAACACTGCCGACATGCCAACAAAGCTATATGCTCTAGTTGCTGACCTCCATTTTAAACAGCAATGAATTGGACCTCCTTTTACATATCCAATATCTGTTTATAAAAGTGAAATATATATTAGAACGTTATACATCCTCTTGCTAGGTAACATGTTCTCTCATTTCTTTTTAGCAAGTTTATTTCAGACCGGGAAAGCAGGAGAAGTCTGACAAACAGCCACTTGGAAAAAAAGAAGTGCGATGAATATGTAAGTCTCTTTCTCAGACTCTCAGTAAACTGTATATTGTGCATATTTGAAGCATTTCACCTTGGTGATAAGAGGGATCTGGGTTTTCTGTTTCCCATGGAAAAACAGGGAAAAAATGTAACTTCCCCTTTTATCTGAGGAAAAATGTGGATTTTTCATTTTCATGGAGAAACATGCAGATTTTGCACTTTTGTAAAGAGGTCTGCAGGTTGGCAGAGTTGCAGCCTGCAAAGGGATGTGGGGAGCAGGAAGAAGACGGTCAGGCAGGGGACACCACATGGCTGCCAGGCAGCCTGAGAGCAGCTCCTATAGGTAAGTCTGGCACTGGTGGGGGGAGGAAAGGAAGAGAGGAAAGTGGGGGACTGAGGCCCCTATAGAGAGGGAGGGAGGGAGTTGGGCAGGGCTGGGGCTGCTGCTGCGTTCTGCTACACTGCAGGGGGCTGGGGACCTAGGTGTTTGGCCTCGTAGCCCCATAGCCCTGGCAGCTGGTGGCCCCCTCTGGCAGGGCTAGGAGGACTAGGGGGGTAGGGAGTGAGGGGCCTGGACCTGCATCATGGGTGAGCTAAGAAGGCAGGGGGAGCTCTGATTTTTTTCCATGATAAAAAACCCAAAATCAAATACCAAAATGTTATAGTATTTAGAATGTATTTGATCATAATGATTGAGGTACTGGTAGGCTTCGAAATTGCTTTAAAATGGTAAATGTATCAATAAAACATTGTGTTTAGTTGATACCTATATATATTACACACACGCACACACACATACAGTAGTGTTTCATTTGAATTGCAGATTTTGAGTTTTTAATCAGAGAATGTGATTTTTTTTAAATCAGAGAAAACCAGGATTCCTGGTTTTGAGAGATGCTGGACCTACAATTCCAGCTGAAACTACTGGGAGCAGCATATTCTTAGCACTTTTGAAAATCAGGTCCTGTTGTCTTAATTCAAACAAGAATTAATTCAAGGCAATGCTATGACTTTTGTTATGCAGCAGGTCAGACCAGGTTATTATGAAGGTTCCTCCTGGCCTTGTAATCTATCAGTCTGTGTTTAACATGTGCTGCAGACTTAGTGGAAATACTGAAAACATATAAGGGATGTATTTGACTCCAGAGGTTATGTCCGTTTGTCCCTTGCATAAGACAGCAATCACAAAGTGCTTGTAAAAAAATTCAGTATGTTTTATTCTCTTTCAAATCTTGTACTGCATTTTTATATTGTAATATACTAAAAATGATTATTTGTATTTACTATAGCAAGTATTAGTATTTGTATTTACTATAACCGTTATACAAATAATTAGTATTTGTATTTACTATAGCAAGACTTGGAATTCAAAGTATAAATGCACTCTACAATGTACACTAAGTTGTTTCTCATCTGTACTTTTTTTTCTTTGTCTAGATTCCAGGAACAACCTCACTGGGAATGTCCGTCTTTAATCTCAGCAATGCCATTATGGGCAGTGGGATTTTAGGCCTTGCCTTTGCATTGGCCAACACAGGAATCCTCCTTTTTCTGTAAGCATTCATGCACTGTACAGCAGAACTGAGCACATTTTCACTTTGAGTACAGAATATTTGTATTGAGAGTAAGTGAGATTGTTTCTGGCCATTCATGGTTCAGTGTGCTGGATTACCTAAGTAAATGGAGTACAGAAGTGCTGGCTTCCCGGACAGTAGGTGATACTCAGACTACTGATTGAGGTATCTAAACATGGATTTAACAATCTAAGTTTAGATGCCCAGAAATTCAGAAATGAATGTATCACAGTTGTGAATACAAAGACAAGGGGTGTAATCCTGGAACTAGTAGGAGTTTTGCCATTGATCGTAGTGCTACCAAGATTTCAACCAGGTTCTACAAGTTAAATATGTACTGAAAATAACAGTTTTGCACATTAGTTATGATAAAATAGTGTCTACTTTTTACACATTCAGTGATTTACAGATCTGTAACTCTCATCAGAAAGTGGTACCTCATGGCAGTACCTCTTATAACTAAGGGAGCAGAACTAGTCCATGTTATATTTGATTTACCATATATTCATCCCATTTCCGCCCCCACCCTAGAAAATGCAATCTAAACAAGTATGTACCAAATGACAGCATACAAAGTAGAAAGCCCTAGGGGAAAGTTAGTAAATTAGATTAATTCCCTGCTTAATCTGCAATCCATTAGGCCCTCTCAGTCTGGGTGCAGTCTCACTCCTTTTCTCTATCTATGCTCTGGGTCAGATGTCCAGCAGTGAAGTCCTTATTAAGATGGATGGTTGGGTTATGTTTATGTATTTTAAAATTGTGAACTGTTAGATGTCAACTATTAAGAATTCAATGCTTTTCCCAAAGAAATCAGTGAAAGTTTTGCCTTTGCTGGGAGCAGCATCAAGAATCCAGATGCCTATTGATTACATAGCACAAAGCTGTTCTAAAAAACAGTTCAAATTAAAATCCTTCAGCACATGTGTAATGTAATAATACTGCCTTACAAAAGAAGGATACGTGCAGTTTGCACAAAGAGTCCATGATGGGACCTATGTTGAAAAACCCCATCCAAAGAGAAGCACTAAGAGAGAGACTGTCTCTTTCGAGGGTTATACTCAGCATCTTCTATAAGGTTCCACTGGTTGATGTGGAAAGCATAACTGTGACCAGTGGTTTTACTTAACTCTAGCTCTGTAAGAGCGATTTATTTATTGACGAAGGTAGGGAGTCAGTAAACCCTGCTCATAGTATCAGTTCTTTGAATGAGCCATGCAGAGTGACAGAAGAGACTTCTTTGGTATAACCCCTAGTGGCAAAGCAAATTACAGTCCAGCCCAAACCACAGTTTTTGCCCTAAAGCCTGCTTAAAGAACAGCAGGAGGGATAAAGCTGAGAAAGCTAAATTGTTCAAATGCACATCATGAAAATAAAAGATTTGGTTTTGAATTATGAGAATTAAAACACAAGTCATTTCAGTGTGCCATGCCAAGGGCCTAAGAACTGAAACAAATTAGAGCTGAGGCTTCATTATAAAAAGAAATGTGGAGTGGAGTAAATGTGGAGTAAATGTGGAGCTTTAAACTAGACTCGCCGGGGGAGGGGGCTGCAGGAAGACGAGGAGACGCCATCAGGGCAAGGGGTGCAAAGGTAAGTAATGAGGGTCCTGATGGTCTGCCTAAATCAGCATGTGCATGCTGGTTTTGTCATTTGGATATTTGCATTGTAGGTATTTGCACAAGTGAATATTAAATTTGGTGGCATCACTTCTATAAGTTTGGTCAGACTTTCAGGTAACTACATGTAACCACATATAAAAAGTTACTTGTATGTAGTATACTATAGTTACTTTTTCTTCCTGTACATTACCTCTTCACTTAAAGCCATGTTCCTTATTCTGGCATGCCTGTGGGTATCAGGGGGGGGGGTGGGACTTTATGTCAAGGAGCACTACACATCCTCTGCCAGCAGTATGGGGTCAGGGGAAGGGCGAGCTGAAGTGCTCTGGGTCAAGATCCAGGGGGGGCAAGGCGAGAGGGATTTGACGGTGGGGGTCTATTACAGACCCCCCAATCAGGAGGAGGAGCTGGACAGGGAATTTTCAGGCCAGCTTGCGGAGACACTAAAAGCAAGGGATGTAGTTGTCATGGGCGATTTTAATTACCCGGACATCTGCTGGGAGGAGCAGTCAGCCGGGACGGACCGCTCCAGGAGGTTCTTGGCCGAGTTGCAGGACCTCCACTTGATTCAGGAGGTGCACAGTCCCACCAGAGGAGATGCTCTGCTGGACCTGGTCCTGGCCGCAGGCGACGACCTGGTAAGAGGCCTCCAGGTTCTTGACCACCTGGGCAATAGTGATCATCGCGTGCTGGAATTCACCATCCAGCGTAGAGTGTCAAGGGCCCGCAGCAAGGTGGTGGCCCTAGACTTCAGGAGGGCCAACTTCAGTGAGATGAGGAGATTAGTGGGAGAGGAACTGGGGTCCTTGAGGGCAGAGGAACTCAGCGTCCAAGAGGAGTGGTCGTTCCTTAAGGAAACGATACTCGGGGCCCAAGGGGTGTCCATCCCGACAAGAAGCAAGGCGGGCAGGAGTGTCCAAAAGCCCCCCTGGCTCACCAAGGGTGTCCGGGAATGCCTGCTTGCCAAAAGGGTGGCGTACGCCCGGTGGAAGGGGGGTGTAATCTCCAAAGAGGAGTATACCTCCTCTGCTCGGGCCTGCAGGCGGGCTGTTAGGAAGGCCAAGGCGGAGATAGAGCTCGGATTAGCGTCCAGGATTAAGGATAACAAAAAGTCCTTTTTCAAATATATTGGGAGGATGAAGAAGGCGCCGGGTAATGTGGGGCCCCTGCAGGATATGCGGGGCAATCTGGTGGTTGCGTCAGAGGATAAAGCGGACCTCTTTAACCAATTCTTCACCTCCGTTTTCTTGTGCAGGGACCGGGACTTCCCTGCTGTGATAGAAGCCGGACGCGAGGGGATCGCCTTCAGACCTCAGGTTGGGGAGGACCGGGTTAGAGAGCTTCTGGAGGGGCTGGATGCGTTCAAGTCAGCGGGTCCGGATGCTCTCCACCCCAGGGTGCTGAGGGAGCTGGCTGGGGTTATTGCAGGGCCCCTGGCACGGCTCTACGAGCGATCGTGGTGCTTGGGCCAGGTGCCAGATGATTGGAAGGTAGCTAATGTGGTCCCCATCTTCAAAAAAGGGAAAAGGGAGGACCCGGGCAATTATAGGCCCGTCAGTCTTACCTCAATCCTGGGGAAGCTCTTTGAGAAGATCATCAAGGAGCACATTTGTGATGGGCCGGCATCAGAAATGATGCTCAGGGGCAATCAGCATGGATTTATTAGGGGGAGATCATGTCAGACCAACCTGATTGCCTTTTATGATCAGGTCACAAAGGCCATGGACGCAGGTGTCGCGGTGGATGTAGTCTTTCTGGACTTCAGTAAGGCCTTTGACACCGTCTCTCACCCCATCCTAATTAATAAACTAGGCGACTGTGGCATAGATGCCTACACGGTCAGATGGATTGCAGATTGGCTGAAGGGTCGCACTCAGAGGGTGGTGGTGGATGGATCATACTCGACTTGGGGGGAGGTGGGTAGTGGAGTCCCTCAGGGCTCGGTCCTGGGCCCTGCGCTGTTCAATGTCTTCATCAGCGATCTTGATGTTGGGGTGGAAAGCAACCTGTTTAAATTCGCTGATGACACCAAAATTTGGGGGGAGGTGAGCACGCTAGCAGGGAGAGAGAGATTGCAGAAGGATCTGGATAGGTTACAGGGGTGGGCAAACAGGAACAGGATGTGTTTCAATACGGACAAGTGCAGGGTGCTGCACTTGGGTAGTAGGAACCAGCAGCACACTTATACGATGGGGAACTCCCTACTTGAGAGCACGGAGGCAGAAAGGAATCTTGGTGTCATTATTGACTCCAAGGTGAACATGGGCCGACAATGTGAGGTCATGGTTGGCAGGGCTAACCGGACCTTGTCGTGCATCCACAGGTGCATCTCGAGTAGAGCCAGGGAGGTGATCCTTCCCCTCTATGCGACGCTGGTCAGGCCGCAGCTGGAGTATTGTGTCCAGTTCTGTGCGCCCCATTTCAGGAGGGATGTGGACAACATGGAGAGGGTCCAGAGGAGGGCCACCCGCATGATCCGGGGACAACAGGGCAGACCCTACAGTGAGAGACTGCGGGACTTGAACCTATTCAGCCTCCACAAGAGAAGGCTGAGGGGGGACCTGGTGACCGTCTATAAACTCACTAGGGGGAACCAGAAGGGTTTGGGGGAGACGCTGTTTCCCCTAGCCCCCGCTGGCATAACAAGGAGTAATGGGCACAAGTTGATGGAGAGGAGGTACAGATTGGACATCCGAAAAAACTACTTCACAGTTAGGGCGGCTAGGAGCTGGAACTTTTTTGGGGGTTGTTCTCCCGCCCTGGCGGGGGGTCGGGCTAGAAGATCTATTAGGTCCCTTCCGACCCTAAAACTATGAAACTATGAGTACTTGGCTTCATCAAAATAGAGGCATTTGGTAAAGTAGGAGAACCTTGTGATTTAAAAATGGATTGATGCCACTTTCTAGGAAATTAAGATGCGCAATGCTGTGTAACTTTGGATTCCAGAAGAAACATTTCTTTATAATGTGATTGATGCTAAAAAATCCATTGAGAATTATATATATTCCACTAATACTTTTGGGAGATGTTTCTGTGTATTAGTATACCAGGACCCATTTGTAAACATTGGCCAGTCTTGACCCAGTAAATAGTTTAAATAGCAAGCCCTGCCCTGGCACCTGGCCCTGCTGGTGACCCTTTCTCCTCCTCCTCCCCCCCCCCCTCCAGTGTGGGGCAGGGGATGGGTGAGTATGAGGCATGGGGGCCCCAAGCAGCCCCTTGCAGGCTGGAACTCTGCCAGTCTGCAAGGGAAAAGCCAATTTCCCATGTTTTGCTCCTTTAAAGGAGAATCCATTTTTAAAGTTTGTTCACAACCCCTTCATATATTCTTGTGACCCACTTTTGGCTCATGACCCGTGG